CAACGGGATATACGCATTTCAGTGGTTTAACATGCATCATCGGTAACGCTACACTCTCGAATAAACTCCTTTTGTCCCTATAATATTTGTAAAATAGAGAAAAGAAAACAGTTTCCACATTAGAAGATAGCACTGCCCCTGGCAATCCAAGCGTTCATGGCATTCTCGGACAGCAAGCAGGAAGCAAAATCTGGAGCAAGCAATACATGGAGCAAACAAGAACTTTTTGGAATTCAGACACTTGCATCTTCAAAATGGTGCACTACTCCTGGAGCAAGTAACAAGCAGCAAAGCAATACATGGAACAGAGAATGGCGATGGCAACAGCGTGGACGAGGGAGAAGAGGCTGCCGAGCGTTGCTCTCACTCTCACTGTCCCGCTGCAACAGGGAGCCGCCATGGCCATCGACGCCAACTGCCGCCGCCTGCAGGCCTCGCTCCGATCCAGCCGCCCAAGACCTCTCCGCCCCAGTTCCATCCCATCCTCGCCGGCCACCGCAGCTCGCCGCCTCGCCTGCCGGAGCCCCGCGTCCCAGCCGCCGTCACCCGAGCTTGGCCATGGCGCCGCCAACAGGAGCTCCGCCCGCCTCCGGCCATGTCCAGCCCCGTGCCCGTCCCGGCCTCCTCCACGCCAAGCCGCAGCTCGTCGGAGCACGAGCTCCACCGGGTCCGCCTCCCTCTGTCGTCCCTCTTCTTCTTCTATCTCTTTTACTCCCTCTCTGCCTCTTCTCTGAATTTTCCCCACCTTGACCTTGCAGCTCCCGCCGCCGCCCTGCTCCGTTCATCGCCTTCTCCGCAAGATCCGGCGAGGCCCTGCTTTCCCAGCCTCGTCCCCGCCACCAGGTCGCCGCGCCGCACCACCGGAGACCAGCAGCGCCGTCGCACTCCGTGTCCTATCCCTGCTCGTGTACGTGCGCAGGAGACGCGCCAGGTCGCCTCTCGCTTCAGGCCTCCTCCTCGCCCGTGGGCCACCAGCACCGAGCCGGCTTTCCGGTGAGACCCCAGTCCTGCCTTAGCCACTACGCCTGAAGCCGCCCCGCCGCAGCTTGCCTCCTCGCGTGCCTCGCCCCAACTGAGCACGCCGGCCGCCTTATCCTCCTCTGCCGCGACGCCTCGGCCCGAGAAGGCGCCTCGCCAAGCAGCGGAAGGCGACCTCTCCCAGTGTCGCCCATCCGTTACTACACATGTCGACCACACAGCGCCATCAGCACCTACCCCTGCCCTCCATCATAGCAACACAACTCGCCTCTCCTCCGTGCGCCATGACAAACCAACGGTGGCGGTATTACGCGCAATCGGTGACAAGAGGCTTATCTACCCCGCCCGAGCAATGTTGCCGCACCTGTTCGCCTCAGTTAGGTTTACGACCTTGTGCTTAATTAACCAATCACCACCTGAGCAATGCTCTCTCAGATCATTGTCCAGGCCATGTCAAAAGGCCACCCTACACCAGTGACAACATCAAATCATTGCCAACATGCACAAATTCATGGATTTCTACTTCAACCGTTCCTAAATATAAGTCTTTTTAGAGATTTCAATATGGACTACATACAGAAAAATAAGTGAATACACACTCAAAATTACGTCTATATACATCAGTATGTAGTTCATATTGAAATCACTAAAAAGACGTATATTTAGAAATGAAGGGAGTAGGTATGTTCTAGCCTCATGGTAATTAATAAAGGAGGGAGGGTTTGATAAGAGCTGTTGTACGATAAATGCATTCACTCAAAGACCCTATCCTAGGTAGAGTAACAACAAAGCCCGTGGACTCTCTAGCCTAGAAAGGGTTGATGAGAGTTAAGAATGCCTTTTTTTGTTGAAAAAGAATTCCTTTTCTTTACAGGATCTTGCTAGGTGGGCAATGAACTTATTTGGACAGGGAAGTTGTCTTGACTAAAGATAACCTCGGAAAATTTAGGTAGCGAGGTTACACAATAAAATGGTGTTTCTATCTCAACAGTGAATCAATCAGCATCTATTTCTTAACAACAGAGATGTTTCCCGTGCGTTTGCACGGACCACTTTCCTGGTTATGAAAATATCAACATCTACAAAATCAAAACAATGTCATTAAATCATTTGGTGTTGTAGATATTGAAATTTTTCTATAAAATTGGTCGGAGTTTATAGAGTTCGGGTTGATACAAAATCTATATGCACTATATTTTGGAATCAAGCGAGTATATAACTTACAATCCTCCATCATTTGGTCCTTATCTTGAATTCCAAATCTAATCATCTAAATAGTGTTGAAAATATAAATTGACATGACAGATTGAGAAGAATTCGCATATAAACATAAATTCTAAATGTATATGTATATTTAACATATATAGAGATATAGATACCTGGAGATACCCAAACCCCGTGCTCCCGAAGCAAGCGAAAGCAAAGAGCAACCTCATAGAGGCTACAACTATTGAATTCACTCTGGTGGATTTCATTTATCGCTGTGTTGATATGTTCTTCAAAGAGGTGATCAATTCCGAGACGTTCGAGTGTGTCCACAAATGTCATTTTCTCTAAAGGAGTATTGTTGAATGTCTTAAACAAAATCTGTACATCCTCCTTCAATTTGGCTTCTTTCACACGCATGCATTCTTCAGATATCTGCATGCTTAGATGAGTTATGATTAACCAAAAGGGAAAAGGGGATACATCAGATGTAAAGAAATATGAAATGAACAATATTAATACTACCTTATTTTGAGTTTATGTTGTTTCCTAAAAATAATTATTAGTTTTATTACCATTTATTTAATAATATATTATCTACTTTATGTTTAAGCACCAAAAAACACATGATGAATGATTTTTTGCACATTTTAGAGGTGGGCCCCATTGCAGCCATACCGTGGCGGAACTATGTGGGCCTCACATCGCTCATAGTGGGCTATTTCGAGTGTAAAATCATTTCAGCACACCGTCTCATAAATATAAGAGGCCAAACATGGAAGACGTTAGAGGATTAGAGAATTTGAGAGGCAGCATAATGGATCAAGAAGGCATGACATGGTGACATTTCATTTCCACCATCAACACCATCACCTAGAATTTATATAGACATTTGAAATTAGTTTGCCTTTTGTACTTGTCAAGGTCAATTAATGGACTCAATACAAGACACGTGCCGATGTACCTTTGCAAAGACAGCTTATGGATAGGTCGAATAGACAATCATCTGAGAGAACACTTGTATATTGCTTAGTGAAATTACTAGTACATACTCCCTCCATCCCAGTATATACCACATCTTAGTTTTCACATTTTTACTCATAGCGCAACACATATCAGGATATCGAGGCACGATGAGCCAATGACCCCTCTTAACTCCTCCTTGATATGCTAGTTCAAAGTAATATGTGCTATATTTGGGGACATGGAGAGTACTATACATAATGTTTCAACAAATCTGTTTTGTTTTGTTTTGAAAAGAACATGTTCGATTTTTCTAAGTACATATAAGTATGTAATTTAGACATACCGGCAGCGGGCCTGGCTCGTATTGGATGAAGAAGGCATCCCACACCGATGCTTCGAAGCTGCTGACCCTCTCGGGAGTCGTCGTAACGCCAGATGCCATTTGGAATATCTTTGTGTTCAGCTTTGCAGCAATTTGCAAGAGTGGCCTTTATATACACGTTGGCAGCCCACACGTGGCCGGAAGTATGAACGATCCAGACCACATAGCTAACTACCAACAGCCCATCTTCAACGCAGATCCATAAAACTCCCGCTAGCGTTAGAATCGTGTTGTCCGGACCGCGAAAACCATCCAACACGGTGTATCGATCCGCGAGGCGGTCCAGACGCATTTTCTCTCACAAACTGGAGACAAAAGTGGAGGAGCTTTGTGGGACTTGTCCCAAGCTCGCTTCTGATGGGCCTGGCCCACTAAAAAGTATGAACGCTCCAGACCATGCACAAACCTAATGTCATGCTCAAAGTATGAACGCTCCAGACCATGCACATAAATATCGCCAAAATAATGCTCACATGACAGCATTGACACTGCTCCGGGGCGTGGAATTCCAGCTCCATCAGACTTTTTTTTTTTTTTTGAAATAGGACCCGGATCTATTATAAGGGTTCGTAAGAAGTACAAAATGACCCAAACGTAATAAAAATTACATCAAAGAACATGCACCATTGAACGACCGTACCACCAGAACGAGCAGCAGGCACACCAACTTGAGGAGGCCCTTCCCTCTCTGCTGCCCATGGTGGCTACCAGCGGCATGACCTCCATGAGTGCGCCCTGGCGTTGCAGGCACGAAGATCTTTTGCCGGTGGCGAGTTGCCTGTCCCTGGTGGCTTCGACCTCGGAGGACCCAATTGCTTTTTGTTCTTACATATTCAGGATCGTTGTTGCACAATGAAGCTTGAAGTTTGCATCACCTACACGTTCATCTCTCGCCTCGTCTGTCGGCTCTGCCTTTTAACGATGCTCGACTGTAAATAATTGTCGCTCTCCTCGAATCGCTGCAATTTTTTTTTGTTTTTAACTAGTTATATTAAAAATATTAGTTGATGTTTAAAAATATTTCTATTTTACCAGATTTACAAAAAATATATTAGTGGGTATATATAAAAAAGCATTGCAAATCTTGATTTTTTTTAAAGGCTCATCATCCACCTTAAAAATGTTCATGATGTGTTTAAAATATGTTCATCAGATATTTAAAAAGTGTTTCTCATGTATCTAAGAAATGTTCATCTTTTTTAAAAGAGTCCATCACATATTTCAATATTGTTCATCGCATTTAAAAGGTATCCATTGCATTCAGAAAAATATTCATCATGTATTTAAAAGTACACAGTAAACATTTATTAAGAAACGATGGAATTTTTTGAAATACTCGATGTCTAGTTTCCCCGTGCTGTGGCTGCCGCATTGTGCAGAAATAGTTAATATTCAGATAGACGATGCTTTTTGCACTAACTAACTAACTAACTAACTAAGAATCAACTACTCTGTGCAGGTGTTGAGCCCCAAATACCCGAAGATGCAGCTGACAACTCGCACTACAAAGGTAAGAAGGAGATTTATGCTCTGAGTGGAGGGGCACTATGTAATGTAATCAGCTAACAGAATGGCTGGTAAAAAATTACAGCTGTGAGTAATTGGACAAGGCTTAGATGCTGATGAAATGTTGAGGGCACGGAGGTATGCAAGGACTGCTATACACACCTACTTGAAGTCTCCGGCAGCGGGTGCGCCTAAATACTGCACAGAGTACAATGATGCGAGGCACGAGTACTCCCTCAGTATTAGTACGTTACAAGATGTTCTGACCCTGGTCGGCAGAAGCATGCCAATTACTTACACATCTCCCGCCATGTCAGGAACCAGACTGCATCATCTTGTGAAGAAATCGACACTTATCATGCTGTTAACTGAAGATACTGGCACTTTCCATCTTGTTAACTGAAGAAATCGACACTTCTCATGCTGTTAACTAAATGAAATCGACCATCTGATCTTCATCTAACGGCAAACCCGGCGGGCTCACCGTCGACCATCTGATCTTCATCTAATGGCAGCTTACGCTTGTACGAGAAAAGGGCTCTGAAGCCTGGAGCCATCCTTATAACAATTCGCTATATTGCGTGTTGGGTCTTGCCACTCTCCTGCTTTGCCGAGGGTATCTGGCTGTTGGCAAAATAAATGGTCCGATTCTTCTTCTCAGCAAATAAATGGTCAGAGTGGCGAGCACGTCTGGTGTATGGCATTGCCGAGGGGCACGCCGAAGAAGCTCTGTCAGGAAGTGTGCAAAATGTGGATTTTGGTGGTTCAGTTTTCTGAAGACCACTTTGTCCTTGAGAGCGATTCGGCGACTGTAATCAAGAACATTTGGTCCGTGCTACAAGAAAAAGTAGCCAAAAAAACAAAATCTGATTTATGAACACATGGGTCGTGCAATTTTTTTTTGTGTGTGTGGACAATGCATCGTGATATATAATATAGCACATGAAGTTTCGTATCTACTCTCTTTTTGAACTTAAAAAAGAACGCATATCTACTTTTGGTTTGCATTTGCTGGGGCGCTTCCAGAGTTCACACACACACACACACACACACACACACACACACACACACACACACAACACATTTCGTATCTATACATCCCAGTGGTGGATGGATCATGAGCCCAGGTTGCCGTTAGTCGCAGGCTAAGCCCAGCATCATCAGGCGAGGCCCACCTCGTAGCGAGGCCTGGTCCATTTAGGCCTCCTGCCTAGCTGGTCCCGTTTCTGGGGATTTTTCTTTGCTCTGAATCTTGCAATTTCTCTGAATTTTGATAAGAATACTGATGGCCAAGCAACTCTATTTTTTCCATTGTTTTTGAGATAGCTCACCATTCACCGAATGGTAATGGCAAAGCAAAATATCTACAGAACCGGTCTGCATGACTTTACTCGATGTATAAAAATTCAACACCTACCTACGTACGGCTGGTTGATGGAACCTAAGTTGGACATCAACTGGGAATCACAAGCGCCAAACAAAATCAAAATATTTGGCTGGTTAATTCACCTCGACAAGCTGAACAAGAAAGAAAGTGTCCATCTTTCTGTTTCCACTCAAGATATGTAGCACCTATTCTTCACCATGTTTTCTCATACGGAAAAATAAATTGGAGGGACTATGTGGTTGCGAACCAATAGTACTTACACCATGTTTTCTCATAGAAAAAAAATGGAGGGAATTCTGGTGCTCGTGGAGAAACATGAATCTTTGGTGCATGAAGAAGTCAAATTGGAAATCCAAAGCATTATATGGCAGACTCGATTGCGTACGCAATGTGCCTCGTACATGCACGCACGAATACATGGCGTACGTGCCTTGTAATTTACTTCACCCAGCTAGGCACACAGTACTGCCGTTCAAATGAGAAAAATAAGTCAGGCCGAACAATTGAGAAAAATATAAGTCAGGGCCGTACAGATAAGCAAAGTATAAGTCAGAAAACTGAACCACATTTTGCTAACTATGTGCACATGGCTTGCGAAACGATGTACGCAAAAGATGTGAACAGGAATGACAAGGAAAGGACTCAAGAGCTAGGTTAGGATTGATCTAATCTCGAATGAAACTTAATTCCAACTTGCCAAATCTTCTTATCGCAAAATCTGCCAACTGCCATCTGCTTTTGAGCCCAATTAAGTGTAGTTATGTTGACACTATTAGTACCAATAGACTGGGATATCATCAAGGGAACTTGTATATATATGAAGCCATAGCCATATCCATTATAACGGTAGCATATCACACATTACTGCCAACAATGTCAATTATGTTCATTTCCATGCTACTTGTGCTACTTGTTCCCCTATACTTGTATCTCAAGGCTAGCAGTAGATCTAAGAACACATCAGTGCTTCCCACAAACTGGCCCACGTTGCATATGTTCCCTTCCTTCATGGTCAATGTCCACAACTTGCATGACTATCTCACCTTGGTCCTCGCCGGATTAGGCCACAACTTCAGGGCGCACGGCCCACCCGGGACCGGGATGCGGTTCTTCGTCACGTGCGACCCTGCTAATGTCCGGCACATCTTCACGACCAACTACACCAACTTCCCCAAGGGTGCTGAGTTCGCCACTATTTTCAACATCATGGGTGGCAGCCTCTTCACCGTCGATGGTGAAGACGCTGCCGCCCAGCGTGGGAAATTGAAGAGCGTGCTCAGCAACCCGCGGATGATTGCTACAACAAGGTGGAGAACATCCTTCTCCCATTGCTCGCCTACATGGCGAGCACCGGCACTCCTTTTGACGTGCAAGAACTGATGTCGAGGTTTATGTTTGACCTGGCTACTATGTCTCTCTTTGGTGTGGATCCTGGCCTCCTATCATTAGACAAACCACCCATGGACGTTGTGGTTGCTCTGAACACAGTCATGGAGGTGGAATTTTTCCGGCACACCATGCCATCTTCTTGCTGGAAATTAATGAGGTGGCTAAACATCGGTCCCGAAAGAAAGCTCTGCACAGCGCACAAAGTGCTACGAAGGTTCCTCGTGGAGATGATGGAGAGGAGGAAGATGGAGATGATGGAGAGGAGGAAGATGGAGATGATGGAGAGGAAGATCAACACATGTCATTTTGGTAGTGACGACGAACAAGATGGTGTGGATATTATGTCTTCCTACCCAAACTACGTTGACGATGACTTGTCCTATGCCAAGAACATTGGCTACATGCTCGCTGCAAGGGACACAATTGGAACAACCCTGACATGGATTTTTTACAACCTTGCCCAGAACCCAAACATTGTGTCAATCATCCGGAGTGAACTCTGGCCCATTGCATCATGCAAAGTAGCATCCAGTGTGGATGCCATGATGATCTTCGAGCCGAACGGAATCAAATCTCTAGTCTATCTGAGAGCCGTCTTGTACGAGACTCTTAGGTTGTACCCACCGGCACCTTTCGAGCGCAAGACGGTGGCCGCCGATGATATTATGCCGAGTGGCCATGAGGTGCGCACCGGTGACACCATCCTTATTTCTCTCTACTCCCTGGGAAGAATGAAGGGCGTGTGGGGTAATGCCTGTCTCAACTATAACCCAGATAGGTGGCTCTCGGAAGATGGAAACAATCTGAGGTACGTACCATCTCACAAGTTCTTAGCCTTCAACTCGGGCCCTAGGATATGCCTTGGGAAGGAAATTGCGGTTATGCAGATGAAGACCGTCATCGCCTCAGTGTTGTGGAACTTTGATGTGGAGGTGATGGAAGGGCAAAGCATCCAGCCCAAGCCATCTTGTATACTGGAGATGAAAAATGGGCTCATAGTTAAGCTAAAGAAGCGAGAGGTGTAACATTAGATTCTGGTCTTATGTAAACGTGCTTACGGACTACCCGAACAATTTTATGTTTCCCACAGCCACATTATTATTGAATAATAAAGGGCTCTATGAATAAAAATGTATCTTTCTTTTACGAAAGAGAACCAGTGTGTTGACAATTATTACTCCGTTGGATGAAACATGGTCCAAAGGCATCGAGACATGATGTTTTCCTCCATTGTATGAGTCTACGTATGTGTTAGTACATTTCTATGGAATATAAACATTGACTGTATAGTTGTTTTATTCTGTTAGTAAAATACGTGCAGCAAAAGATGTGCCGCAGTTTAGGACCACTCCGATAGCATCCAATTAGCTGGTCTCCTCGTGAGCGTGTTTATAATTAGCAAGCATAGCCCCTACTAGACCACAACCCCTAGTAGCACAATCCTTACCAGCCCAGTTATAGTCGCATCAGGGCCACACGGTTGCAGTGGGGTTGCAAGTCTAGTGGTGGACATGCAACTGGCTAACAATCTTCCTAGGTGCGCATGTGTCTAAGGTGAGACATGTCTAGTTGCATGCGGGTTGTGACGCGTGCATATGCGCGTTGGGGTCGGACATGCAACTAACTAGCGCAAAAAAACATTTTTGTTGTTATAGCTTAGGGTGTTTGTTTTCGCGCAAAGGAAACAAAAACAAAAGTAAAAAACAAACTTCAAAAAATTAAAAAGAAAAATGTGGCCTAAATCCTATTCAAAAGCAGCGTGTGTGGGACTAAAAAGTCATTTATGATTCATTAACACAATGTAGTGGGCTTACAGAAAAAGAGAAATGGCAGATCTACAGAACCAAAACAAAAAAGGGGTCAAAACCCCAAAGGCACACATGGCCCACCTACAACCTTTTGGGCTCGCTACTTCTCTTAGCGACAAACGAGAACAACAACAACATGCGGATGCCAGGGCTATATCTTGCCCCTTGCAAGAGGATCATCGGTCTCCCCTATGGCGGCGGTCGCCAAATGGACTAGTCCAACACGGGGAGCGGTTTTAGGAAGCTGCTATGGCCCGTTCGGGATGGTTTTAGAAGCTTCACTTTTTTTTTCTTTGTGTATCTCTCATTTTTTCTTTCGGCTTTTCCTTTTTCAGTGTTTCTTTACTGTTTTTCTTCTGTTTTTTTGTTCGTGTGTATCTCACTTTTTTCTGTGTGTATTTCTTCTTTGTTTCCTTTAATAAATTTCTATTTTTTTAACACACGTTGTAAATTTTTGTATACATATGGAAACAATTATACATGTTAAACATTTTTCAGTTACATGTTGAATATTTTTTATAAATACACATGTTTCGAACATTTATTTGAATGCATGTTAAATATTTTGAAATACACATTGAACAGTTTTTTAAAATTACACGACACATTTTCTAAACCAGGCAATTTTTTTTATATTCTATAATTTTTTTAGAACATCACAAACATATTTTTTGAAATAAGTGAACATTTTCTTAAATGCCATGTATATATAAAATAGTCAGAAATACATTTCGTTAAATATGCGAACATTTGGTTACATTGTATATAGTTTCATAAGTTCCGTGATTTTTTTTTGGAAAAGCGTGAACATTTTTGTAAATGTAATAATTTTTTTATAATGATATGGAATAATTTTTAACTATGCAAACATTTTTAAAAATTGTATAAACATTTTTTTATAGCTTTATGAACATTTTATTGGAATACCTGAACATATTACAAATGTCACATGGAAGTTTTCAATACTATCAACAATTCTAAAAGTTGCATGAATATTTTTAAAATATTTCATGGCATTTTTAATACACGATAAAGATGCTTTCAGATTTATTTATTTTTTCACTAGAAATGTGAATAAATAAAAGTAATAAAAGGAAAAAAAAAGGTAAAGAACAAGTCAGCTTAGCGGCATCTAGTTTTTGTTAGAGAATAATTACTTGTGATTAATTAAGGATAATCTCCTTATCTTTGTAAACCGACGGGCGGTTAGAATCTGCCACCGTCGCGTCTCTTGTCCCGTCTCCTCTAACCGACGCGTCCCTTGGATGCAACCCCTCGGAGGGTATATATTGTACAATCATCATCAATGGAAAGGACGGTTGATTCATTCTAGCAATTGTTTCATCACATTGCTCTCCGTTGAGAGAAAGGCCCTGGACCAACGACAGCGCAGCGAGGAAGGGAGGTCGACTTCCGTGGCGAGAACCAGCGAGACGCCCATGACGGAGCGCAGCCGGCCTCAATCTCCCGGAGCATGGCGCCCTCCGGCTTGGCCGCCAGTGACGGCAAGCCCCTCAGGCCTGGCCGCGGCATCTCCTAGCGCGTGGCGCGATGCAGCGGCGACTGCCGCAGCAAGCCTCTCCCGGCAGCGGCGTCAACGACCGGGATTATGGCGGCTCGGCCTCGGCTCCGGCAAATGGAACTGGTGGCCATCCACCACGACGCCGCTCCTCCCCGGGCGGTAGCATGTTGCCAGTGGGTGACGGCGTCGATCGCGAGGACGCGTGGCGTCGGCAACAGCGTTCGATGGGACGGCTGAGCGCGCAGCAACAGGTAACGGCACGGTGGCCGGTAGGACTGCGGGCTGCTGCGGCGGCGCAACGGCGGCATGACTAACGCGGCCGTTCAAGAGAACAAGCAGGCGACATGGAAAAAAGAGGAACTGTTTCTGGATGGTTTTCTCGGTGCTCAAAGGCAACAGCGCTATCCACGGCGAGGACGAGCATGCGTCCGTCAGTATAAAAGGAAAATTACTAATTCAGTTGTCTTCTTGTGATTACGATCATCAATCTAATGACTGATTGTTTCTCTTGTACGTATGTATGTACACTCACGCAAATCGATTCCATCGGAGCGTGGAGTCGGCGAAGTCGACTGGCGCACGACCGAGGCCCTCTGGCCGGCGCTCAGCCCGTCCACGCACAAGGCGAGGCGGCGGGCATGACCTTCTGGCCTGGATCTCGAGGTCGCATCGGCGGCGGCTGCCAACGGCGTCGAATGAAGTAACGGCGGTTCTACCCGGCTAGGTGTGGTGACGTAGCGTGCTGCGTTGGTACGAGGCAATGGTAAGGCGCTGGTTACCAAGTGGGACGCACAGTAAACCGACGGCGCGGCCGCCGGATGCGTCCGGTTTCATTGGTAACAAAAGAAAAAGAGAGAAAGAAAAAACTTGGGCTGAGTGGTTTCGGCCTATGACCATTTTCTCCGTGGTTTCCTTTTGATTTTAGCTTTTAGCTATACATTGTTTTCCGATGTGTTTTGCAGTAATTTATGATATGTTACTGTGTTTTAAAGCACATTTGTATATCAGCATATCTGATTGGGCAATTTGATGGTTGCTATATGTTGATGATACTTGAAAATTAATTTACTAAAAGGTAAATTAATTGTGCATGATGATTTCATGTAGGATATGTTGGACATATCCAAGAGAGATTTTTTTTGCTGAGTTTGCCGCTGATGGTAATAATCATCAAATCTGGTCGATGCAAAGATTAACTTGGCAGCCCGGCGTCTCAGTTCCCACATAACCACACCCACTCAGGGGCTCCGGCTATAGTCGCTATAGCAAAGTATGTTGCATTGCACTTGACTACACCATGATCTATAAAAATAGAGTATCTGATACTCTGGAGCTCTTTTGAGGAGCAGTATGATCAATACAGGTGATGATGATGCTTGAAGTGCGCAGGAAATGGGCGCTCGTCCGGTTCCATGACTTGGAGTCTATGATAGCATACAACTCTTATGTGCATCAGATCAACTTGTAGTTGAGATTCTGCAATATTGCAGTTCTGGATGTTAATCTCATCGAGATGCTCTCCACTTTTAATCCTTGTATGAGGATTTATATTGAACAATTTCGTCAATTGTGAAGGAAAGTGGAGGCGTGATGAGAAGCAGAATAAGAATGGGGCTGAAAAGAGAAAAAGTCATTTCCAAACCAATGACAAGGCTAGCAACTCTAATGGTTGCTATAAGTGTGGTTTTAGAACACGGGTTGCAAGGATATGTGATACTTCCATGCATTTGGTGGATCTGTGCATGCATCAATTGGCCAAGGGCAAGAGGCCCATGGGAACAAGTGTGAAGCTTACTTCCCTCGATATAACAATAATTTCCCGACGGTTGAAAGTTCCCACACGTTCCCACACGTTACTTAGTGTTGATGACATGCTAGTGGACTTCGCTACCAGTGATATACAATGTAATCATACCTTAAAATTGGTTTCTTTCTCTATAGAAGCCTATTGGAATAATCCAATTGAGAAGAAAACGTGTTAGTAGAAACTGGGTCTACTAACATGATGCTAAGGGAGACTAAGTATTTCCAGACTCTTGAGAAGAGTAGTGGAAACATCATGACAATTATTGGTCGTGATGGGGTAATTGTTGGTTTTGGTCAAGCCATAATTGCACTCCCTATGGGTACTATATGATAATCATGAATGAACTCATGCATCAAGATTCTACTCCTACCTTGCTGAGTTATAAGGATATCCACAATTGTTTCTATGTTGAAACTCATATAGTGCGTGAGGTTGAAAGCCTACTCATTACTCAACAAAAAGGATTTGAATGAAATCCTAGAGTAAAGGTCTTCTCTATCATTTGGATTAATATACTATACATACATTAAACCGAATATGCATTTGGCGTACAAGATAATTTTCTAGAATCTTGATAAGTTCAAGATATGGCATGGTTGCCTGGGTCTCCCTGGTATTGGGATGATAAGAAATTATTGATGGTTCTACTACACACAATCTAATGGTGTGAATTTGCCAAATTCATTGGATTATGTATGCACGATACGTGTAGACTGGAAAATTGATCATAAGGCCATCATATCTAAAGATAAAGGATGGACCAGTAGATTTCCTTGTATAGGAGATGCATATGATTCAATTCAACCATTATATGGAATATTGAGATATTTCATACTACTTTTGGATGCATCGGCGAGATGGTCCAATGTGTGTCTTACTTCTATAAGG